TGTCTTTGCTGTCACCAAACAAATGAGATTTTCGCAAATTTCGTAGAATTATCCCAGTGTCACTGGGACTTCTTCACAACAAATTTGTGTTATGTTATTGTTGTTGTTAGCCTTTGGATTACTGCAGTAGTTTAATAGTTGCAATGTGCCGCTCTATTGTCGATTTGCTTTGATGGCTGAGTCTGTGGTACGATTTTATGCGCTTGTCATAACCTAATCAACAACTTCAACAAACAACTGTCGAATAGGGATGAGTGAGAACTAAGGCAACTATTCCATTAAGCCACCAACTCAATGGGTCGACACTTCGTTTCGATTTCATCGTTTGCGCTCGTATAACTTCGACTTCGACAGCGTCTACTTTCCGTGATGTTACTTAACTTTTGCATTTTTGGTTGTTTATTTTGCCACAGCTTTGCCTTCGTTTTGCTGCTACTTGACGCCTTGGAGCATCAAGCTCCAGCTGTTGTTGTTGTTTATTGTTGTCAGCAGTATCAGCGTTGATTCTTCGCACTCTTTCCACACTCTCGCTGCACCATCCTTTTACCATCTTCAGCGCTACCTAACTTTGCTTTGGCCGGATGTCTCGGGGTAATTTAGATAGCGTTGCTACTCAGCCCGTTATGTCGCCGCTGCTTGATGTCTGCTCAATTGTTTGCCGTTACTTTGGTTATTTACGACAATATTTGTGTTGTTGTGTGGTTTTAGTCTTCTAATAACAGTTGTACAGCTAAGTGGGCAACAAGTTAACAATCGGTGTTGCAAATACCTTCAGAAAGTTGGTTTGAGTTGAGTTTAAGAAGAAATCTGTGCAGTTCTTCGTTGTCAAGCTTGCGATAATGGCAAGTGAAAAAAATCTGTCTCCATTTTGGGTTTCTTAAACAGAAATGTGTCTATCTCACTTCCTCTCTCTCTCTCTCTCTACTTCTCTATTCACCTTTCTATTAATATTTACCACTTTCGATATAATGTTGGTATATTTTGGTTTTAAGGAGACATCTTGATGGCGATGCTTCGAAGATTTGTGTTTCTAGAAATTCATTTACCTCAGCTTTCTGTCATTATGCTCGAACCCTTCTACATAAAGATGAAGTTGTCTCATGGTATTTTATTGTCGCTTGTGAGAATAGCACGGTATAGCATTTAATCGGAGCACTGAGCTGAGATTGACCGGTTAAGATATCCATTTTGAATACTATTGCTTACATATAGGCAACCTCCAATAAAAACCCGCTTCAACGTAGATATAAGTTACTGCAGGACTAAGTGTTTTATAATTAAAGTTTTTAATACCTACTCCTACTCTTCAACGATGCAGTGATATCAGTTTCTATCCGTCATTAATTATTGAGCCCCAATAGGGTTACGTAGAAGCAGTAGGACACAGATGGAGAAGATACAGACCTGCCAGAAACCGCACTCCGAACTATAACATAATATCTTCTGATGTCTTCCATCGAACATAGTGAGGCCCCTCCCTTTTAAGGAGCATAATACACTACACTCCATGCAGCTTCTGTTCGAGTGCTTTCGTAGAATTCATCTCTGCAGTCACCTGCTTGAAGCGGAGCCGCCTCTTAGGAACATCAGATGAACATGCTCCAACAAATCGGGGAATTAAATGAATATACCGACCAAATTTCAGAAGTGACCAACTTCCAACGGATACGGAATGCTATTCCCAGTGGAGCTATTAACAACCTCATTGACTCCCTGTGCATGGCGTGCTTTGAGTCCAAATACAGCCAATAACAGAACAAGAGCTTGAGTTGCCACGTGAAACCATAGGGACCCTTGCTCAACTTCATTCTGGACAAAACCTATTTCCTTCCCAATAAAATCAACTCAGTTTATACCCCACTCCCTATGGTCCGAAAATGTCGAAACAGCTCGAACATGGGCCTATTGTTAAGTGATTTCGATAACAGTAAATTTATGGGCTGAACAGGTTATATTAAGTTTGCCACGATGTTTGTAACACCCAAAAGGAAACGTCAGAGACCCTATGCGCATGTCCATCTGTCCGTCTATCCGTCCGTCCATCCGTCTGTCCGTGTGTATATACACGAACTAGTCCCTAAGTTTTTGGGATATGGACCAGACATTTTGCACACGTCCTTTTCTCACCAATAAACTGCTCATTTGTTGGAACCGCCAACATCGGCCAACTATGGCTTATAGCTGTAATACAAACTCACTGATCCAACCCAAGTCCTTGGAGCATGGAAAACTTTTTTATTTGACAAGATATATTCACGTAATTTGACACAGATTATTATCGCTACAATCTTCGTCCATATTGTTCTGATCGGACTACCATAGCATATAACTGCCATATAAACTGACCGATCAAAATTAAGTTAAAGATCTTTTTATACCTTTTTGTGCTATAAGAAATGTAAATGTGAGGTGTTTCATAGCTGCAGCCGAAGTTGAACTTTGTTCTTGTTTTATTGTATTTTCATTATGTCAGAAATAAAATCTTCCTGGTGGTAGACTTACATGGAGATATTTTGATATGTTCTTTAGTAAAGCATTGGTACCGATAACTTTGGATTCTTCTAAATATACCAAGACCTTGACTACCCACAATGATTTGCCGCTGGGTATGAATAAATTGATAGCTTACGTATTCGATAAGAAAGTTTCTTCTTATTATTCGTACGAAATATCCTTTATATATCCTATAACCTATACGAGTCTTCCTATAAACCCATATAAGTTTTTAAGTTTTTAGCTTAAGACTTTACTCTCTTAAGAACTACGAAACCACCTCAAACGAACTAATTTATGAGCTGAGGACTTTGCCAGCACTTTAATAGTTGCTTTCTTAAATTCTACATTAAATTTCATTAATCATAGACAGCGTAGTTTTCTCTTTTCTGCACGAACCGCTCCTGTCGAATGCTATCAAGTCTTTTTCTTCGTTTTCTTACACTACTTAAATTGCAAGAACTAAAAGACGAGCACGTGCCTTCGCATACGTAAAGATGGACAACGTAACGTCATTATCGTTAAAAGAGAGCCGACAAGCACAAATAAAATGCATACGAATGGTGCAAAAATAACAAAAACAACGTTAAGATTTGTGGAGCAAAGAGAGGGGGAGGAAGTGAAAAATTAAGTGAAAGACAGAGAGAAAGAGAGAGAGAGGGAGATGGAGTGAGTAACTGTATTTCTTGTTGCAACAAATGTGGTTATATACATAAGTGTAGAGTATACGTAAGTAAATAAATGTGTTTGTATGTATATATATATATACATACATATATATAATATGTGCTTATGTATGTATACAAAATAGTAGTTTGAAAATGTTGTTGCTGTTGTAAAAGAAAGTAAATAAAATAAGAAGGTCAAAAATAACAAATAATATATGCATATATAATATTATACGTATGTATATATATATATATATATATGTATGTATGTATATATGCATATTTAGCTATTTTACATACACTGGTGTATATAAGTTTGTGCGCCTAACGAATTCCAATGTCGAGAAAAACATACTTACATCATTCGAATTGTTCATTTGTTTTTGGTAACAAGAACAAAAAAAATATATATTTTACAAAATCCGACACACATTTTCGGTCCTAGATATTTCGTAGCGGCTTATTTCTGCCTTCAATAGTTGTCCGCCCAGCTTCATGGAGTGTTGAGGGCTAAGTTGCTCATACCACACGTACCACTCTTAACTAACAACAACAAAACACAGACGCAGACACAGCCAGGAAAGAATCGCTCATAGAACATAGAGTAGTGGTAGTTTCAGAGATAAACTATGTAGATGTTGCTGGTATTGTTGTTGTTGTAGGATACTTTTTTTGTTGTTGTAGCAAAAAGTCTTTACAAAATTGTTGTAGCCGAAATATGTATTTGTTGTTGTTGCAGGAGAAATTTTTGTTTTTGTTGCCACCGCCAGATGCGCACGAATCGGCATACGAATGACGAACAGCATATTGCATAAACGAGGTTAGGTAACGCCCCTATACGTGACTATCGGCAATAGCGGGCGGCACCCGATTGGCGCACACACACGACACTGTTTGTATGTGTGTGTGTATATGTGCTTATTACGAAATATATAATTTAACTATAATTGCAGTCGCTGGTGGCAGCCGGGCTAGTAGGGAGCATAGCTGTGTGTTGGTGTCACTCGGCTCGGGATTCGCCTACAACATTTTGCAAGGGTTGTTCGTGCTGGCCCGCTAGGAATTCGTATTGCAATTACAACAAATTCTAAAGCGCTTTATTATGAGTTATGGCGTTTTTATTGCTTGCTGCGGTCAGTATTTCAGTTGTTTAAAGAATCATTGTAAATATTTACTTTGAGCTGTTTAGTAGAGGAAGTAATCTGCAGAACAGATTTCCTGAAATTATATTTTTCGTGCCATTATAATTTTTTTTCTTATAACAATTTTTTTATCTCATAAAATTAGTTTATTTAGTTGCTAAATAGACAGATAAGTGACGAGCTACCTAAATACGCTTGCTCACTTATCAACTGCTCACTCTTCAACTGCTCAGTCATCATCTAGTCAATCATCATCTCTTCACTCACCTACTCACTCATCTAATCACTCATTCCGCACTCGTCGGCTTTCAAGTACCTTTTCACAAATTTTGTATGCCACTTACTTTGCGGTAAAGTGAAAAAAGTTTTATTTGTTTCAAGTAAAGCAATGACCTTTGACCTTTGCGTTGTTGTATTGCATGACAAACTTTGAACTTTGTCAGACCTCTTTTTTTAATATTTCTTTAACAAGAAAGCAAACTTGATTTCCAATTCGATTTTGCAAGTATATTGAAAAAGTTATCTGAAGTGTCTGGGCAAGCGTTTGAAGCGCCCAACTCAGCTATAAATGCCATGCTTGACCGCTCACTTGCATACTCTTCCTACAAGCGCACGTGCGTGCTCTTCAATCAAACTGGTCTGTTGCCATAACTGACAAGCTTTGCTGCACCTTTACCCCCTCACTTAAGTCGTTCTGTCTATTTTATGTATTTTAATTTATTTCAAGTGCGTTTTAAATCAGTTTTATTGAGCAACAAACTTCGGCACCTTCAAATACTTTCAAGAACCGCTTCAGTCGAACATTTTACCTATGGTAACTGGCCACTAACTGCACTTCCTCCATTCAACTCGTTTACTAGTAGTATTCGGTCTGTCCTAGCGGATTGCCCAACCATGGATAGACGGAGGGACATGTATCGCACACATTCATATAACGTATTTCACCAGTCTCCATCTTCCGAAGTCCACAGTTGCGTTTTAGACATGTGGTATTCGGTTTTTTCGGACAACCTGGAAAGGGTTTACCCAAAGTGGGATGCTTCATGTAGTGTATGACGCCTGAAGCGGTGGTTAAGTAGACATCGGGTAGCGTGTTTACATATAGGAGGAATCTGTAAGAAGACATTGGTTTGGTTTTGTAACAAATAATATTTTGAAATTTTTTGTAGCTCTTAAGGACTCTCAAATTGCATGCTTATACCGCAGACGTAAGAAAAATTCTGGGCTTCCTAAATGATATTTTGCTCTCTCATCGTGAGTTACTTTCATGACAACAAACTTTTTCATTTCTTTTCTTTAAGCTATATGTATAAATAATGTAGAAAGAATGCAAGGAATGGCGTTCTCAGACATAACCCAGTTATTGAAATCAACCAATCGAATATCTTGCCTCGAGCATGTTTCCATTCCAACAGGTACTTCCAGGAAAAGTTAGTGGCTCACTCCTCGAATACTCAAGGTAGTCGATTACCACACACAAACACATGGAACACCTTCTAAGTTATTCTTACGAAAAGAAGCAGAGGCGAAGGTGATTAAGGATCGATTTAATCAATTCGAAGAATGGTTTAGATGAAACACCTACACTAACCTGTCCTTAAACTCAGGAGAACATTTATTAAACTACTTTCTTAATTAGGGAGTCCACCTACTAGGTTAGCCGAAAAAAGAAGAGCTTAACGCTTGTGAAAGAGAGAACAGAATCCGTCAGACGTGACGACGAAGAGTTTTTGATTGTAAGGCAACGCGTATAAACGAACCCCTAAGACAACGAAATCAATACAAGATTACTTCAATCTCCCAAACCTGCTACTCACTTTCTGAAAGCCTCAAAATAATGCCGTCCACGCTGGAACCAAGCCGCATGCAGATACATACCAAATGGAGCACGATTACCATCATAATGCCTTTTAAAGTTCTCTACCATCCATTCGAATAAAGCGTCTACTTCATCCTTCGGTGGAAATACGCAGCCATCAATCATTGCACAACTGTAGCCGGCAGTGTCAAACCAAGTGACCATCGGACTGACCCAAAAACCTGGAATCGCGGCATTTGGGCATGGACCAATCTGGCAATCTTGTATTGAACGATAGTCGAGCGTGTAGGGCCACATGACAGGACTGCGCTGTGATGGCCATGAGCTATCGTACAGCAGTCCTAAACGCTTAGCAGCCTCATAGGTATTATTTCCGGAAATTTGCAGGAACGGCTGACGCATACCACGTATATGTTTACGCTTCATTTTCGCGAATTTCACCAACATATCAATTTGTTGACCAAACTCAGCCAACAGACGTTCCACATCCGCCTCACGCCAGTAGTCCGTGCCGGAACCATGCGTAACCGAATGCAGCGCTATCTCGTGACCTTGTTGGTAGAGCGCATTCACCAGCGTATAATCGGTGTACTCATGGGAGACGTAGAAGGTGCCGCGCACACTGCAGTTATCCGGATTTACGAGTCCATCGAAGAGTTTCTGATACTGCTCGTAGTTAATGACATTCACAGCATCATCGAACGTCACTGTAATGAGCTGGATGTTTTATGGTGCAAATAAAAACAATGTTCTGTTAAAATTTCAGAAATGTTCACATATTTTCTCCGGCAATCACCTGTGGTATTTCCTTTACATGCTCCTTGAAGTCGGCACTGGGCAAACGTAGGCCCGAACAACGGCAATTTGGCAACTGACACTTCTCAACATTGCAATGACCGGCTTTCTTAAGCGGCAAAAAACTGACGGTTGCGTTCTTTTCGCATTGCACCAGCACTGCACTCAAGGCGATCAGTAGAAATAGCGCGAAAATTGTTCTGTCTAGCATAGCTACAACTTTTAAGTTTTTCTTCGTGAATGCGGCGCACTCTTTTATGCTTTCGTGATCGCTGTTGAAGTGTTGTTGCGCCAATATCTTATCATCGATGATAATTAGTAATGATGTTGTCACATAATGTTCGGCATTAGAAATTTGTTTGTTCTTGTTCAGAGTACTTGTAAATTAATAACGCTAATTTGTGCAAAATTTTTTAGTTCTCTTCTTTCTATTGTTTCTTCAATATGTTTTTTCTCCTAAGAGTAATGACTAATATGATTTGGGAATGACTGTTCGAAGATAGTACTGAACGTAAGCAAGCGATGAGGGCAAGAAAATAGAGAAATTGAATTCTCATTCTTTTACTCTCTTCCTGACTTTGCCTTTTGCTTGACTTGTAAATAAGAAAGTGCTATGCCGCTTTTTTCTCCAATATCGAGAGACAGAGGAGATTTCCGAATTTTTGGTGAGCTTTTCAGTTTTGTTGAAATATTTCAACTCTAACTTATTTCAGACTTAGTTATTGCAGATTCTTTGTAACTTCAAAGACCTTGTATACTTTTGAGACATCGCCTTTGGCTATAGACTTATAATATTTTCCCCAAAAACGTTAGCAAGAATAAAGGAAAGAGAGAAATAATTTGCCAGCGAAGTCAGCTAAAAGTTATCAAAACGTTAAAGCAGAAAGTAGAATCTCACAACTTTTTCTAATAGCATTATTTGAGCACCAACTCCATAAAATCTTCATCATTTTTATCTGAATACTTTAGTCGTTTAAACTTCAATCATTTGTATATATATAAGTACTTTTTGAGAGCTTTTATGTGATGAAGTTACAATACCATGGACCTAAACTATATTCACACTCCGAAAATTTACTAACACTAAGCTTAATTTAGTTTCATCCTCACAGTGATCTGCTTTCGAGTGCGTCTTTACTCTACACTTTTCACATTTTATAAAACTTTATTTCGCTTTCTTCAAACTAACTGTCTCTTCTATTTTTCTGGAAAATGTATTAAGAAAAATGATTTCCTCAAGCATACTGTCATAAGCAAAGTGATACTTAAAGCTTAAAATAAGCACATGAAATAAAGTTTGTTGAGTTTTCACAGATTAGCGCGGACACCAACCACAAATAAAAAAAAAAAAAACTGAAATGAGTAGGCGCGATGAATGCGTTTATTTCTCTAAAAGGGGGATAAAAAAACAAAAACTAAGCTATGCTAAATTGGTTACTAAATAATAGGCAAACCAAATATAGGTAGGGACTAAATTTGTTAGAGTAGCGTTAGTATAGAAAGAATGTGAGAGCTGAGTGAGAAATAAAGTGTATAGTGACAAGGTTCATACAAGAATTATAAGAGGACGGAGCAGTGGCTTTATTAGTTTTAGTCACTTGTACTTTTAAGTTTTGGAACTTTAAATCGGGTTATTAACTTAACCACTATATGCTTATTGCTAGTTTTTGAAAAACAAATGACGAAATTATTTTATAAGAAAAAAGTTTGGTGAACGAAGCTCTCAGCATCAGATTACCGCAAAGAAACTTATGTGTAGTTTAAAACACGAAAATAGTATCTGTCATTACAACAAAAAAAGAATTTCTCACAAAATATAAAAGTCAACTGGCGAATTATGAGTTTACGTGAGCGTACAGCTGAGTATTTCTTTGTCTATCTTTTATTTATACCAGAGCATTTTTATTATTATGCACGAGGACATTTACAAAAACAAAAGTAATTCGTATTTTTGCAACTTTAGTGCATGGTCAACTGTCACGATAACGTAATTTCTTCTAAAACATTTGGGTAAACCTTAAGTGAGTTGAAGAAGCAACAGAAGACGAAGAATAGAAGTAAGCAGAAGCGTTTAGTTTGAGTTAGCGTTGTTGGAAGACGTGATGAATTACGCTTGCTTGCAGTGTGAGCGACTAATAAGTTGCAGTTAAGGCGCACTTAAGTTGCACTTAAGTGACCTCTAACAAGCTTTCGAGTAAGCTAAGTAGTCTAAAGGGTGCGCTGTTATACTTGTCGGTACAGAGTAAAGATTTATTGAGTGGATTAAAATTAGAAATGAGAAATGAACAAGGTTTGCTGCATATTTTTGGGGGAAAAGAGAGAAAAGAGAGGAAAAAAAGAAGAATTTTAGGGAAAAATAGAAAGAACACAAATGTCTTACATAACCCAATTGTCTTGATATAAATTCCGACGTAGAAGCTCGATCTAAGCGAGGTCAGATGTATGTAATTTATCAATATGTCCATGTAAAATGAGATAGGAGACTCCAAAGATACCATTCAACTGGAAAGCTCCGTCGGCAATCCATTCAAAGAATATGATAGATTAGTTAGTCTAATACCATATATATGGACGCTATGGCACAAATTCTTAAGTCGACTTTTAGAAATTATTTAGAACGACTTTTTAAGGGAGTACCTATTATAGTGTTTAGAATGAGGGATGGCCATAAAGAAGATATTTTTGGACAAAGACTGACCTAATGCTGCTTTAAACTAGGTATAATATTCAACGGGACCATATTATATGACTATGTTGATTCAAAGTCGGTGGAAACCAACGTTAGTAGAGTATAATAGTGAGGCCTAAGACAATCGGAAATTATATTCGTATGATTCTCTTAAACTGACGAGCTAGTTGGTGTTAAACCATTTGATAGGTGTTGCATCCATCTCTTCTCCTCTCTATACAAACAAACTTTAAATAACAGTTATAATACTGTTTTATATACAGAACAGGCGAAAATTATAGAAACTGCGAAATTTACCACATTGAAGTTATGCTGATTTTTAAAGCAATTCGAAGAAATTTTGAAAAATGAACTTACTGAGGACGACCTCCTAAACAGTATTTACACCGAAATAAAGAAATAAATTTCATTCCACGCCGTCTGACAGGCGTACAAATGGAAATTCTACGCTAAATGCATTATGCCTTGAAATTTTCAGTCATGAAGGTGAATGCATTACTGCTACCGCTCTTGACGTTGTTGTTGTTAACCCCGCCATACCAGCCGTTGTTGTCTCTTCCTTATTTACTCTGTGCACTCCAGTCACGTACGCGTGCGTGTCGCACTCGCTCACGACCGAATTTCTTATGAGTATTTGTTCGAGGCAAGAAGTCTTCGCTGCACCCACACAAGCACATCCTTCCTCCGGGCCGCCACTTTATAAAAGTCAACATGCCAAATGTGCATATTCGTGTACTCGCACTCGCACATGTGTGTGCGTTGGCTTGGTTGCGTGTCACGCACGTCTCTTGGCTTGTGCAACTAAATTAAATGCAAAATTCCATTTGTCGCCCGAAAGCAGCACAAAGGTGCACACCTTCGGAGACCGCGTTGGTTGCAGCTTCTCCTTGAATTGGGCTTCTTAAGGCCACTCAAGATCAGTAATGTGGAAAAATTTTGGATCCGTTCAGAAGAGTGCTTCCAAGAAGCAGCGTTTGAAAGACAGAAACTAGCTAGACGTGCTGGCATCCCAAATTGATTGATTATAAACTGGAAATTAATGTTAAATAAAAAAATCATAGGCAGAGTTGGGAAACGCGACCCTCTCATCTACTATAGAGCAACTGAGAGAGTTAACGGTAACTAACAGCCATCATGCTCACAGTATACATAGAACCACCACAGTACAGACCGAAACTATTTAGATAATACTTTTTCATGTCGTCGAAAGCAAAAAGATCTAGAAAGTTGCCACCTGTTTTACAATTTTAATTTTTTCAAGTCCAACTTATATACTAATATATAATTTATATAAAGTCAGCAAACTGAGAAGGTTTCAGAAAGCTTTTGTTCAAAAATTTACCTTATAAAATATATACATTAAAACAATATGTACATCAAATTAGATTAAACTAACTAAAGGTTAAAGAAAACGTACAGTTGGAAATATATTTGCAAATAGTTTCCACTTATTTGAAAATTTTAAGTCAATGAACTGATAGGTTAAAGAAACCCAAAAAGAGGAAGAACTTTCAGTAATCTAACTGATATTTAGCAGGGTTGCCACCTATTTAATAATTTTAATTAACAGCATTGAAATAAACAAAATTTTAATACAGGAAACAAATCAAAAAGAAACTGAAGAGGCTTAAGCTAATTTTCATTTGAAAACCAATATTTTATAAAAAAAGAGATGCCATTTGAAATTTAATTTAAACATAGATATAATAAACAAATTTTATAATAAGGGTAATACACTATCGAAGTTTAATAATAGTTATTTTATGTGGATAATATTTAAAGAGGTTGCCACCTTTTTAAAATTCCTGAAACAAGTTGATAAAATAACAAGTAAGGAAGGGCTAAGTTCGGATTTAACCGAACATTTTATACTCTCGCAAAGTCAAATGGTATACTCGTTTGAGATTTCTTTGTGGATTGACTGATATTTTCGGTAGAAGGTCAACTATAGGCACTGGGGTTCACATATTCAGTACTTAGGGGCTTGAACAGTTTTGGTTCGATTTAGACAAGTTTTGGTCACAAGGTGGCATACTTTAAACGTATTATGCACGCAAAGTTTTACCCCGATATAATCATTGTTACTTGATATTCATAGTGGAAAGTGAAAGAATCAGGTGTTATATGGGAAATAGGCGTGGTTGTAGTCCGATTTCGCCTATTTTCGCACTATAACATAAAGCTATGAGAAGAATGTTAAGTACCGAATTTAGTTGAAATCAGATCTCAAGAGGGTTTTCACCTAAAAGTGGGCTGTGCCACGCCCACTGTCTAAGTTGAAACGCGGTTCCTATAGTCATCTCATACCATCCCAGAGATAAGATTTAATGTCTCTGGCGTGTTTAGTGCTTGATATATCGCGCTTTTAGTAGTTTTTAACAGTACCGTTATATGGGAAGTGGGCGGAGTTGCCACTCCGTGATAAGAGGGAATACTAAAATTTAAAAACTTTTCAGAGATTTACAATCGACAGAATTTTTTTATTTTTGAGCATAGTTGCCATTTATAAAAAAGATAAAAAATTATATATATATTTA